TACTGATCTTTGATGATGAGATTGGAATTTTTTAAATATAAATCTGATCTGTTACAGGTTTTCAAATTTGTCTGTAACCAATTTATAATATCAAAATTACAAGTTAGAATAGGTACATCTGACATATTTATTGAATTGATTTTATTTTTAGAGTTCAGTTGTGTATTCATTATTTGTTTTACTTTTTTTGTATTTATTACAGAGATGCTTTAATTTGATTGACATAAGTACAAATTTGGGTTTCCAAATATTTGTATCTCTCTTCTCCAGTTAGCATGTTGAATTTGTTTTCTTCATATACTTCCAAGTTTTCATAATTTGCTTATTTATACTTTTATTGAGAATAAGTGTTGCACATTTATCTATTTTGGACTCCATTTATATTCTTCCACTGATCTCTTTCACATGGGATGAAGATCTTTGAGAGGAGCCAAATAACTTAAGATCATCTATATACAAAAGATGAATAATCTTTTGTTTATCATATTATGGTTCAAAAATTGAATGAGGTTTGATGACCTCTCAAAAGACTGATGAGCTAGAGCATTGTTTTCAAGCAAGATGGTACAAGCTGTTACATGTAGCTGTTACATTCATACATTTTATCTGTCAACTTTACCTCAGCATTGCATTATTTCTAGGTGATGTTAGATGAATACCTATCTTGTTTTTATCACCCAATGCATGAAGATGTCGGATTTAAGATAATTGGTCTCGTGACTTTTTACTAAATTTATAGAATTATCTTATACCATAGTTTTCCTTGACTATGGTAAATTATATCAAATTATTGTAGTGATATAGACCAAAAAAAATCAAGCCTATGCCATTTTGATTAACAAATGTAGAGAAATGGATCATGAGGCTACTAAACATACTATCATTAAAACTTCAACTCTTTTTGAATACTTTATTGTAAAGAGTTGTTTAAAGTAAAAAGAGTTATTGTCTTGTTAAGTTTGCCATTTNAAAAAGCTTATTGCTTTATAAGATATAAAGTGTTTTATATATTAGAAATGTTTTAAGCAAATTGGACAAATGAAATAAAAACATTATACTTTTATTTTTTGATGTATTAGTTAATTCAAGTTTTCCCAAGAAAAATGCTAAAAATTAATTTAAAGTAGCAATTCATATATTTTATTTACATTTAGTAAAAATATATAATATTTCACTAAATAATATAAAAATATTTTTTTACTTTTACTAAATAATGATAATATTTAATGAATGAGATATTTTATATTGTATATTTATATTACATACAAATAATAGTTTACTACTGTATAAGTAATTATTTATAGTAAAAATATTTTTGTTAACAAGTACTTGACCGTGGAATGTTTTTTCTGTCTTTTTGTATTGATGGAATACTGTATTCTATAATCTGCTTGTGAAAAATACTCCAAAAAATTAAAGTCAAATAAGAATATATCAATGTAATTGGTTCCCTCCTGTAAAATTTTCTGCAGACACCCATGCTCGCTGGAATAAAAGATGGTTGTCTTGCTGTTAATATCAAGCATTTCCAGTTTGTATTTTCAATTATCTGTATGGATCTACAAGAGAAGTTTAGTACTTAACGTAATCAACACTAGAAATTTGGACAACTTGGCAAGACCTCAGAAGTGGCTAATAAATTCCCTAGCTAATCAATCTTAAAGTCTCATTTAAAATAACATCACCTCATTTTATTTTAATGTATTTTATTGCTGTTAATATTGTTCCTTGTTTTTATGCTTTATTTTATTTTATTTTTTATTCAATTCATCTAAATGTTCTATTTGTGTTTCCATAGCAATGTTATTTTGTTTGTTTTTGCTTCCCCAAAGATGAACGAGATAACTAAAAAGTACTTGAAAGTTATATAATGGCTGTTTCTATACTCCATTAAATCATATCTTCTAGTTTTAGTTGTTTAATTGCAGAGTTCTAGCTTATTAATTTTTGTTCTTTGCAGTTTTTTGTAATTATTATTAATTTTTCAAGTGTAGCTATAAAGATTTCTCTTTTTGAAAGCAAATTAACCCGTGCAATTTTGAATTTTTATTTGTGTGTTGATAACTGATATCGTTTAGTGTATTTTATATATCTAAAATTACAATTGTCATTATGTATTGATTAAAAAAAGCTTTCGCAAGTTTACATTTTTTAGTGTTTCTTTTGAAATTATGAAAATTTTGGTATTTAAAATGATTATGTTCATTAAATCTTATTATTAAATAATTATTCTTTTTCGATTCATATCTTCAATGTTACTAAAACAATGAAGATAGTGTACAGTTTGTTTTCCAACAATTCAACTATAGTAAAAGTACTTCTTGCATTACGTAGTTGAGTTGCTTATGATTAATTAACTAGGCCATTACCTAATAGATTCTTACTTGCGTTATCATTCTTAATAGAAAGTGTAAAACTTTACTGATGAGTAGTTTTCTGATTTTTACATTAATATTGTTCATCAAGCTGTTTATTTAAAACTTATTTTATAATTATGAAAATAATATACATAAATTTTTTTGATTTCATATTAATTAAAAGTTTTATTGTTTAGTTTTTATTAAATTAAATCTGCATGAACGATAGTGACGGAGAATCTGCTACAGAAATTACCAAACTAATGTCAGGGTATGTAGAACAAAATGTGAGTCAAACAGGAGGAGAAAGAAAACGGAGAACTGCGCGTAATCATTCGGGTGAAAATTCGCAGGTAATTTCGAATTTACAGATTTTTATATTTATTATAACATATTATTTATATAACCAGCATAATTTATTATTTTTTAATAAATTTAATTATAGATAAAATACNAGATGTGCTTGATTCTCTTCAATCTGTATCCAACTGCCTTACTGCCAGTCTATGGATTCTATGTGGTGTAAGTTAGAACTTCTAGATAATAATAATAATAACACTTTTTCTAGTAAGTTTTAATAAAAATGAACTAACATTTTAGCTATTTTGAATAGCCTTCCTCAGGTTTAACATAAGTTTGAATTTCAATAGATCTTTTGTTCTAATTGACATTTGAAATTACACCTAATACGGGTGTATACTGTACTTGCTATTCTATTAATATAATACGGCTCCATTCGAGCTCCAAATGAGACTGTTGGGACCTTAACGGAACTGTAGAGCATAGCTGTAGGAGCAAAAAAGTCAAAGGAACCACACATCTATGTGTGACCCTTTGCCAGATATAGCCCCCTAAATTACTTTGTGACATATTCTTATGCTTTTTTTCTATCTCCAAACCCTCCCACAGATGTATGATTTTTTTTTTTGTAAATGCTAATGAAACAAAGTATTTAATAAACATTTAAAATTACAGGAAGCTATTTAGTTTTCATTATTAATACATCTAATTAGACATAAGCTGATATGTTANTTTTTAGCTATTTTGAATAGCCTTCCTCAGGTTTAACATAAGTTTGAATTTCAATAGATCTTTTGTTCTAATTGACATTTGAAATTATGTTAAACCCGAGGAAGGCTATTCAAAACAGCTGAAAATGTTAGTTCATTTAATTAAAACTTGCTAGAAAAAGTGAGAAAGGTGTTATTATTATTATTATTATTATTATAAACTTTACATTTAATGTATTACAAAACCTAACATAGATTAATATAGCCCTCTTAAATGTAACTTCAAAATTATGTTAAACCTGAGGAAGGCTATTCAAAATAGCTGAAAATATTAGTTCATTTTATTAAAACTTGCTAGAAAAAGTGAGAAAGGTGTTATTATTATGATGATAATTTTATCTAACTTTACATTTAATGTATTACAAAACCTATCATAGATTAATATAGCCCTCTTAAATGTAACTTCTTTGTTACATTTGTATTGATTGCTCTTTCAAAATTAATCTGTTTTATCACTTCTCTAATTTAAAAAAAATTGAATCATCATATTTCATTACTACATGTAAACAATTTGACATTCACTTACAAAAAAATCATTTATAGGCAAGAGGCTCAATCATTCATAAATATGAATTTTATATAATGTAATTTTCAGATATAAAATCATAGTTATAATTTATCCACCTCATTGAAAAGAAATTCAATAAAATTTTAAAGTATCACATATAGTTAGATTTTAATCTTTAAATTCATTTGAAATATGCAATTTATATTTCAGTGGACAGTGACTAAACTATAAATTGCATAAATATTCAATATTAAATTCCTTTACATATTCATCATATTACATAAGAATCCAGGCATATCTTGCAGAATCTCTCTTAATTTTTAATATTCAAACTTTATAAAACAAATCTCTCAATGTGTTTTTCAAACAATACATATGAAGGAAAAGTTACATCTCAAAACCCAAATACAACATTTTAGCAAAATGTGTAGTGAAAGTTTATAGCAGGAGTCTCCAAAGTGGTAAATATTGACCCCCAGGGGTTGATAAGACATTTTCAGGGGTCAATTGGGAGTTGACTGAAAACAGTTTATTAGTTTAATGGATTATGTGGATTATGCAGACTATATAACAGTTCTGGATGTTGTAAGTATATCTTTTCTGTGAAAACAGCATACAAAATAATACTGGCTCTATTTATTTATTTATTTATTATTATTAACTGTATTAAAGAAAAAAGAAAAGGGAATTGATAAAAGATCAAAAAATCCTTGAATGGGTCAACAGTCAAAGTTTGAGGACCCCTGTTCTAGAGTTATATTTCAAATGATAGAATGCCAAAAAATTACATATGAATGTTTTGAAAAGTGTAGTGTCAACAAACAATGTTTATGGAATACCATGCAATTTATGCATACAGAGCAAATGTTTAACAACCATGCTAGTTTTTTTGGTAATCAGAAAGTCATTTTTAAACATTCACTTCTTACACCTTAAAAAACATACATTGACATTTTACATATCAACATATCTAAACTCAATTTATTAATTAAACCATATGAAGTACTAAATTATCATACTANATTTTATAATTATGAAAATAATATACATAAATATTTTTGATTTCATATTAATTAAAAGTTTTATTGTTTAGTTTTTATTAAATTAAATCTGCATGAACGATAGTGACGGAGAATCTGCTACAGAAATTACCAAACTAATGTCAGGGTATGTAGAACAAAATGTGAGTCAAACAGGAGGAGAAAGAAAACGGAGAACTGCGCGTAATCATTCGGGTGAAAATTCGCAGGTAATTTCGAATTTACAGATTTTTATATTTATTATAACATATTATTTATATAACCAGCATAATTTATTATTTTTTAATAAATTTAATTATAGATAAAATCTAATTTAACAGAATGACTTTAATTATTTGTATTGATAAATACTAGGGCACACAAAAACTGGAATTGTACAACAGTGAAACTAACACCTATATGCGATTTCCATCAAATAACAGTAATTTTCTAATGTTTTGGCCGCTGTGTAGAAGCCCTCATCAATATTCTATATTGAATGATAGAACTGTTTTTTTTTTTTTTTATTATTTCCTGATGAGGTCCTCTAAATAGTGGCCGAAGACATTAGAACATTACTGTTATTTCCTGGAAATTGCATATAGGTGTTAGTTTCACTGTTTTTTGTATTGAATTGAAAACAAATTTTTAAAATGTATAAAAGACTCCACAAGATTAAAATACTATGAAAATATATTTGTTTTATTGGTGCATCAACTTGATTATTTCAATTATATATGTTTTCCTGTATGAAAGTTTGAATTACTGTATATTTGAAATTAGGTATAGTATTACATAAACCTTTTATTTATTTATATTTTTTTTACATTACAATCTGTATTAAACTTTCTCAGGATTCAGTATTGTACTCTAATTACAATTCTGTAAATATCAATTTTTTCAAAACTCTGCATGAGTGACCACCTCATTTATGTAATCCTGAAGGTGACCATCTATGTGAGGTTTTACTATGTATACATACACATACACAATTTTAAACTTATGCAATTATTGAAATTTTTAATTATTTTTTTTCTTTTTTTTTTCATGTACAGTAGAGCGTCGTTTATCCGAATCAATTGGGGACTGGGGTTGTTCGGAAAATCAATATTTTGGATAACCGATTATGTACAAAAAAATATATTAACCTATCCCATGTTGAAATTTTTCTCCATTGCGTGTTGCTTTGCGTTGAATTTTCGTCGATGTTAAGTCTAATGAAGACTATTGTATCGTTAAAAATNCTCCCAAAGACCTCTTGCAGATTTACTGATCTTTGATGATGAGATTGGAATTTTTTAAATATAAATCTGATCTGTTACAGGTTTTCAAATTTGTCTGTAACCAATTTATAATATCAAAATTACAAGTTAGAATAGGTACATCTGACATATTTATTGAATTGATTTTATTTTTAGAGTTCAGTTGTGTATTCATTATTTGTTTTACTTTTTTTGTATTTATTACAGAGATGCTTTAATTTGATTGACATAAGTACAAATTTGGGTTTCCAAATATTTGTATCTCTCTTCTCCAGTTAGCATGTTGAATTTGTTTTCTTCATATACTTCCAAGTTTTCATAATTTGCTTATTTATACTTTTATTGAGAATAAGTGTTGCACATTTATCTATTTTGGACTCCATTTATATTCTTCCACTGATCTCTTTCACATGGGATGAAGATCTTTGAGAGGAGCCAAATAACTTAAGATCATCTATATACAAAAGATGAATAATCTTTTGTTTATCATATTATGGTTCAAAAATTGAATGAGGTTTGATGACCTCTCAAAAGACTGATGAGCTAGAGCATTGTTTTCAAGCAAGATGGTACAAGCTGTTACATGTAGCTGTTACATTCATACATTTTATCTGTCAACTTTACCTCAGCATTGCATTATTTCTAGGTGATGTTAGATGAATACCTATCTTGTTTTTATCACCCAATGCATGAAGATGTCGGATTTAAGATAATTGGTCTCGTGACTTTTTACTAAATTTATAGAATTATCTTATACCATAGTTTTCCTTGACTATGGTAAATTATATCAAATTATTGTAGTGATATAGACCAAAAAAAATCAAGCCTATGCCATTTTGATTAACAAATGTAGAGAAATGGATCATGAGGCTACTAAACATACTATCATTAAAACTTCAACTCTTTTTGAATACTTTATTGTAAAGAGTTGTTTAAAGTAAAAAGAGTTATTGTCTTGTTAAGTTTGCCATTTTCTCCACATCACTTATCACTAAAGGTCCAGATAAATATGAAAGTGCTATGTATAGGATGACAATTTACCAACCTATTTACATCCCATGGATGTCTGTCGACCTGATGGAATACAAAAAAAAGAGTTTCCTGTTGTTAATAGAACAAGAACAGAGTTTCTCTCCTATGATATTAAATCTAGTTTATGGCCAGTATAACACTAGCATATTTAAGGAACAATTGTTGAGAGAAAAATAATCATAACAATGATCAAGAAAACATAAAACATGTTTTATGTTTTCTTGATCATAATCCTTATTTTGTTTTGCAGTTATTTTGGAATGTAACACAAATATTTTTGATTTACCTTAGGATCTTCTTCAGGCAGAGTTCTAGAAAAAAATATTTCTTCTTGTGTGATTGGTGTTCCATTCAATTAGTTAGTCAACGGCTTTCAGTTCTGATAAGTGTCTTGCAGGTCTGTCAGGCTCATTATTAAGTAGAGTTTTGGAACATATTTATAGAGATGATCTTACTCTTTGAATCAAGCAATCTATGGAATCTTTTACTGTAAAGAGGATCCATCTTTTCATTATGATAGAAAAGATGGATCCTCTTTACAGTATATTGGAGTAAGAGCATTTAAAATCAAAGAACAAATTTCTGAATATCAAAGAGGTACACCATTCTGGTGCAAATGCTACTAGATGAAGACTTTAATACTGTATGGAACAAAGTAGATGTGCTTGATTCTCTTCAATCTGTATCCAACTGCCTTACTGCCAGTCTATGGATTCTATGTGGTGTAAGTTAGAACTTCTAGATAATAATAATAATAACACTTTTTCTAGTAAGTTTTAATAAAAATGAACTAACATTTTAGCTATTTTGAATAGCCTTCCTCAGGTTTAACATAAGTTTGAATTTCAATAGATCTTTTGTTCTAATTGACATTTGAAATTATGTTAAACCTGAGGAAGGCTATTCAAAATAGCTGAAAAGTTAGTTCATTTTTATTAAAACTTACTAGAAAAAGTGTTATTATTATTATTATCTAGAAGTTCTAACTTACACCACATAGAATCCATAGACTGGCAGTAAGGCAGTTGGATACAGATTGAAGAGAATCAAGCACATCTACTTTGTTCCATACAGTATTAAAGTCTTCATCTAGTAGCATTTGCACCAGAATGGTGTACCTCTTTGATATTCAGAAATTTGTTCTTTGATTTTAAATGCTCTTACTCCAATATACTGTAAAGAGGATCCATCTTTTCTATCATAATGAAAAGATGGATCCTCTTTACAGTAAAAGATTCCATAGATTGCTTGATTCAAAGAGTAAGATCATCTCTATAAATATGTTCCAAAACTCTACTTAATAATGAGCCTGACAGACCTGCAAGACACTTATCAGAACTGAAAGCCGTTGACTAACTAATTGAATGGAACACCAATCACACAAGAAGAAATATTTTTTTCTAGAACTCTGCCTGAAGAAGATCCTAAGGTAAATCAAAAATATTTGTGTTACATTCCAAAATAACTGCAAAACAAAATAAGGATTATGATCAAGAAAACATAAAACATGTTTTATGTTTTCTTGATCATTGTTATGATTATTTTTCTCTCAACAATTGTTCCTTAAATATGCTAGTGTTATACTGGCCATAAACTAGATTTAATATCATAGGAGAGAAACTCTGTTCTTGTTCTATTAACAACAGGAAACTCTTTTTTTTGTATTCCATCAGGTCGACAGACATCCATGGGATGTAAATAGGTTGGTAAATTGTCATCCTATACATAGCACTTTCATATTTATCTGGACCTTTAGTGATAAGTGATGTGGAGAAAATGGCAAACTTAACAAGACAATAACTCTTTTTACTTTAAACAACTCTTTACAATAAAGTATTCAAAAAGAGTTGAAGTTTTAATGATAGTATGTTTAGTAGCCTCATGATCCATTTCTCTACATTTGTTAATCAAAATGGCATAGGCTTGATTTTTTTTGGTCTATATCACTACAATAATTTGATATAATTTACCATAGTCAAGGAAAACTATGGTATAAGATAATTCTATAAATTTAGTAAAAAGTCACGAGACCAATTATCTTAAATCCGACATCTTCATGCATTGGGTGATAAAAACAAGATAGGTATTCATCTAACATCACCTAGAAATAATGCAATGCTGAGGTAAAGTTGACAGATAAAATGTATGAATGTAACAGCTACATGTAACAGCTTGTACCATCTTGCTTGAAAACAATGCTCTAGCTCATCAGTCTTTTGAGAGGTCATCAAACCTCATTCAATTTTTGAACCATAATATGATAAACAAAAGATTATTCATCTTTTGTATATAGATGATCTTAAGTTATTTGGCTCCTCTCAAAGATCTTCATCCCATGTGAAAGAGATCAGTGGAAGAATATAAATGGAGTCCAAAATAGATAAATGTGCAACACTTATTCTCAATAAAAGTATAAATAAGCAAATTATGAAAACTTGGAAGTATATGAAGAAAACAAATTCAACATGCTAACTGGAGAAGAGAGATACAAATATTTGGAAACCCAAATTTGTACTTATGTCAATCAAATTAAAGCATCTCTGTAATAAATACAAAAAAAGTAAAACAAATAATGAATACACAACTGAACTCTAAAAATAAAATCAATTCAATAAATATGTCAGATGTACCTATTCTAACTTGTAATTTTGATATTATAAATTGGTTACAGACAAATTTGAAAACCTGTAACAGATCAGATTTATATTTAAAAAATTCCAATCTCATCATCAAAGATCAGTAAATCTGCAAGAGGTCTTTGGGAGAAAAGGAATCTCTTGAATATCCAAGAATTATATAATAAACAAATTAGTCAACTATAAAATTATTTTTTTTAATGAAGCAATCTGCCAATGCAGCATTTATTTACATTGATCAACAATATACAGTATTTAATTCATCCTCCAAAGATGTGTGTATGGTATGAGGTCAACACCTCAAGAAAAAAACAAATGCTTGATGTGGAAAATATTCCACTATTCTGACAAGTGACAACAATGAAAAATTATCAAAACCTGGCTAAAATCTAAAAACATATTTATCAAGACAGAAGGCTTCACAGTCGGTATTCAGGCTCAGATTATTAAAACAAGAGATTATAAAAATTATATAGTAGATAACCAAACTGTAAGGAACGGAAAAAAAATAATGCTCTTTCTATCAGCAGTCTAATAAAAAGAGCATTATTGTTTACATGCAGGATTCCAAGCATTGATTCAGAGATAAAAATAACATTGCAGCTTATGTCTAATTAGATGTATTAATAATGAAAACTAAATAGCTTCCTGTAATTTTAAATGTTTATTAAATACTTTGTTTCATTAGCATTTACAAAAAAAAAAATCATACATCTGTGGGAGGGTTTGGAGATAGAAAAAAAGCATAAGAATATGTCACAAAGTAATTTAGGGGGCTATATCTGGCAAAGGGTCACACATAGATGTGTGGTTCCTTTGACTTTTTTGCTCCTACAGCTATGCTCTACAGTTCCGTTAAGGTCCCAACAGTCTCATTTGGAGCTCGAATTGAGCCGTATTATATTAATAGAATAGCAAGTACAGTATACACCCGTATTAGGTGTAAATAAAGCATCTTTAACACATCTAACAGAAATAATTCGTCGATAGTTTCCAAAACTCGACAAGAAGCAAGCCAAACATGCAGTCCATCGGAGAAAAGTAGCATTAATCACAACTACGTACTGTATTGCAAAAATCTACCGACTTCAACTCTGACTTTTCCTTACCATCCGACTCCGACTCCAGCTAAAACATCAAAATTCCACGACTCCGACTCCACAGCTCTGATTGCAAGAGACGTCTCTCGGTTACAATTTATACCATCAAAACGTAGTCTCCAAGTTTCGAATTTGTAATCACACTTCGACAGAGAGATTTTGGGAGAAAATTATTCGAAATAAACACAGAAACATATTGAATTTAGGCTGAAAATGCATAAATTTCGAAATAAATATGTTCGAGATAGCCATATTCAACTAAACAGAAAAAAATTTTTCGAAACGGAGCAATTTTCTGTTAACAAAAACCTGTTCAAAACGGAACCTGCCAAGACGGACAAACGTATTCAGTATCGTGCATTCCGCTTTACACAGGTTTTTATGTACACAAATTATATAAACTTCTACCTTCAAATCTGTAGAGCAAAAATACGTATTAATCACGTTTTAAATTAATGTTTATTTAAATGAATCAATTTCACAATATTATTTCCATTTCCGATACGTCACGTGACACACTTTGACAAGANGAAGACTATTGTATCGTTAAAAATTATTTTTTTATTTTGTACAAACAAAATAAATATATTGAAAAATATAAAAACAATAAAAAATTATACTTCAGAAGTTAATTTAGTATCAAAAACGTAAAATATTTGAGTAGCCCAAGACATAGCCAAAGATTGCAGCGCCACAGCACTGGCGAAAATTTAAATTTGCCGACTGGAATTCTTTCGGATAATTGACGCTTCGGATAATTGACACTCTACTGTAATTTTAAATACAAATATTGACATATGATGTATTTGTATACAATATAAAAAGCTTATTGCTTTATAAGATATAAAGTGTTTTATATATTAGAAATGTTTTAAGCAAATTGGACAAATGAAATAAAAACATTATACTTTTATTTTTTGATGTATTAGTTAATTCAAGTTTTCCCAAGAAAAATGCTAAAAATTAATTTAAAGTAGCAATTCATATATTTTATTTACATTTAGTAAAAATATATAATATTTCACTAAATAATATAAAAATATTTTTTTACTTTTACTAAATAATGATAATATTTAATGAATGAGATATTTTATATTGTATATTTATATTACATACAAATAATAGTTTACTACTGTATAAGTAATTATTTATAGTAAAAATATTTTTGTTAACAAGTATTTGATTTCAGATCTGCTTTTGTACACACTCAATACTTGATATACAGTTGTTTTGGTTTTTTATTTTTTAATTTATTTGACGTTTTGCAACAAATTTGGAAATTAACAATTTTTATTATGAAAAATTCCAATTATTATTACATATTTTACTTTAGATAAATTTAACCCTTGTGAGATCACATTCAATGTCTTGTAATACAAGTAGTTGCAGTATTTTTACCAGTTTTCATTTTGCCGATTTCTTTTATAATTTTAAATAAATGTAGTATTTTTTATTTGCTAAATGATTTCTTTTATTCATTACAAATTTTTGATAACTGTAACATCGAATTATACCTGTTATTTTTCCTCAGAATTGTAAATTTGACTTGTGGCAATTGTGTTTCCCAACACATGCATTTTCTACATTTATTACAGTTTTTACTTTGCATATGCGATGGTTGTAGGAAATTTATCTGCAGTTTTTCATGTTTTTATATTTGTATAGTCAATTGTTTTACATATCATATCGTCAGCGTTAAAGTTTGCAAGTAATCAGTTACAGTTTAACTATCCTAAGTTTTTCTGGCACAAGATTGTAATAAGTTATATTATATCTATTCATATATTTGATTGTGCAGCATCTTTATCACATAGTGCAGTCAAATCTTCATATGTTGATTGACTTACTGAATTTTCTGATTTGTCTCTAAATCAGAATCTACTAATTCTACAACAGCTAAAGTATGTCACTATACTAGTAATATCCAGCACATAATATATTAACTAAGTGACATACTTTGGACTTAATTAAATCTGGTTTTTACATGTTACATAGTTATCATTCTACAATAGCCAAATTATGTCTACATGTTCTTCATCTAAGTTACTTTCATTGTCAGTCAAAGGTTCAATAATTATGTCTTCCAATATTTATCTTATAACCATTTCTTCTTTTAGATCCATATGCATTTTTCTGAATAAAACAACGATGTAAACCCTACATCCTAACTTAATTCAGATCTCAATAGACATGTATGTGTTATTTGATAGTAAGTGTAATATGAAACAATTATATGATGTAATTGTAATCTAAGAAACGTTGAATAGAAAAATAAAACTGGTTGAAATCACTTAAATAGTTATTTCACAGGATATATAACAGTCAAATTTAATCACAGATAAAATGGATGAGATTTGTGATTCACAGAAAATCAATAATGGACAAAATTAATAAAATTGTTTTTTTGAAAAAGAGCAGATTTGGCCATTATGAGTACGAGTGCATTCATTTTAATCAATATGTTGTCTCACGAGGGTTAATTATTAAGTTATTCGTCTAACATATGACTTGTACAATATTTGATGCATATGAAATTTTTAAATAAATAATATAGTTATGAACAGTTTAATGAAATTAAATTCCTTTAGTCATGTGATTAATGTACTAGTTTATTTTTTTGCTTTCATTTCAAATTTTGATCAAATGATTTTTAATTTTTTAGTTTAAATAATAAAAAAAACAAATTTGTAAGTATATTTAATGATAATTTGAATTTTATTTCTCATATCTAGCAGTGTAATGGTCCATTGGATACGGAGGTGACATTTAGAGATGGACAGCCAAATTCTGTTGTATCTTCTGTGAATCAGAATAATGCAAGAGGTCCTAGTTGGGATGAAGAGGAGGAAGAGGAATTAAAATATGGAGCTAAACATGTTATAAAATTATTCATTCCAGTATCTCTTTGCATGCTGGTGGTGGTGGCAACCATTAGTTCAATTAATTTTTATTCCCATACCAATACTTATCTGTAAGCTTTTTTTTATTATTTAAACAGTAACAATTTTAATACATTTTATTAATAATTATTATACAAAAAAAATTAGTTTTTAATTTTATTTAGTGTTGATGAAATATTACTGTTCTACTGTAATGACCATAAAAAAATATGCAATTCTTTTTCTATACTAATGAAATAAGTTTTCTTGAAACATTTTTTTGAAGAAAAATAAATGAAAAACTATACTACTAAACAAAGAGATGACAACACCATATTGTAATTAATCAGTCAAAAGCAGATGCAAACATTTTCTCAAGAAATCAGTTCTTTCATTTGAAACTCAAACATAAGTATAGTAGAGCATCGATTATCCGAATCAATTGGGGACTGGGGTTGTTCGAAAAATTGAATTTTCAGATAACTGATTATGTACGAAAAAATATATTAACCTATCCTATGTTGAAATTCATTCAAATCCTAGCATGTCCTTAAATACCCTCTCATGGTCATGCCAGTGCTTCCAGCTAAAACATGCACACCAACAAAAATAATATTGGAGTAGCCCAAGACATAGCCAAAGATTGCAGTGCCACACCACTAGCGGAAATTTAAATTTGCTGACTGGAAAGCTTTCGGTTAATCAATGTTTCAGTTGATCAACATTCGGATAACTTGCTCTACTGTATTATTTTATATTTCATTCAAATAATACATTTCAATTGCTGTACAATGAACAGAAGTACTTTCATTTGAATAAAAGGAAGATATTTATTTGAAATGTTTTTGAGACATCCATCTTATTATCATCAGCTTACATTCAGAAAATAAGTTGCGGTGATGGTATGGATGTCCCTAGTGTTTCAAATAAAACACTTGACATTTTGTATAAAGTTTGCATTTGCTCTTGATTGATTAATCATGAATCTTATTTTTAATCTTAAATTCATCATCATAAATAATCTTGATATACAACAAAAATTAAGCACTGAAAATTACAGTTTCTAACAAAAATGTTATGCTTTATAAAATAAAGCAATTTTTATAAAAAATTATAAATTAAATATTGATTAAGAACTTTAATTTTGGGATATTTAAATATTCTTTTTCCTTGTTTAGTTAGTTGTCAAATTATCAAGCACAAATCTACTAAATAAATTATCCCCATTTGCCACAGTATTTGATACATTGCATCCACACACAAAATAATTTATTATCTATCAGATAGATGATACCATTACATCCATACTTTGATTTTTCATTCAGTATAGATGATCCAAAACAGCAGATTCTGATGATTCATATGAGCATCTGCTGTTTTGGATCATCATCTATACTGGATGAAAAATCAAAGAGGAACTGTGTTCTTTGTTGAATTTTATCATGTACAAAATAACTTGTTAGAATTTGAATGGTTTCTAATGCTTAAGTTTGCTTCCAGTAACTACACAATATTTCTCTCTTGTTTTAAAAACATTTTTAACAGACATTGTCGTTCTTTATGTTACTTCAAAATATAAAAAAGTAAATAAAAATTATGGTAAAAAGTGGTCATCTTTGATTAAAATTGTGTTTGGGGTTACAGTGGCTGATTCTTTGTTAGTGAAAGTGTGCCAGTGAATGCTCATAATAATCTTTTCAAGATGTTAGATAGCTCAATTACAAATATAGATTTGACTCTCTAATGATATTAGTAATATGTATAAAGATAAAAATATGTTTAAAACATTCTTTAAAGAGGGAAAATTTTCAGACTATTTTATTTTGAGATCTAGTACTTGACTAAATTTCATGCTATGATTAAAAGCTTTAGTTATGGAAAAATTGGCTTATTAATCATTTTAGTTACCATGACTAATTAACAGCTGTAATAAAATAGACTATTTTTAGCATATAAAACAAATGTAATATTGAAGTAGGAATAATCTCACTCCCAAAAATAAATAACATAAATGGTAATATTTTTCTGTTGCTTTATTGTGTGCTTTGACTGAAATGTGACTAAGATACAAATTTAATGAGAGAAATTTTTAAACATTTGGCAGTTTTATTTAAAAACTATTTTTCATTTATTATAATAGCCATTTTTAGATTCCAAAACATTGTTCTTTATATTTGTTAAAGATAAATGAAAAATTTTTTAATTTATTTAAAAACATATAAGGTTTAAAATATGAAGGAAATCAGTAATTGTTTTAATGTAATTTTAAATTCATGTTTTATAATCTTTTCCATATATTGAGTTTATTATTATTCTAAATAAATCTTTGTTGTCTATATTTTAAACCATTTCAGGTTATGAATAACTTTTACAATAGCTGAAATTGTCTCTCTCATCATTTAATACTAAATTTTATATTTCATTATCTGAAATATTATCTGAAAATTTTATATTTCATTATCTGAAATATAAAATTTAGTATTATCTGTGTAAAGATACAATAATAGATTGAGTATCAGTAGAATATTTTCAGTTTGTAACAAAAAATTTAACAAATTTTTCTGTTTTATATGTTTTGTTCTTAGATTTAATTTGAATGCTTATAAGCATTCAAATTAAAACTAAGAACAAAATTTAAACAAAAAACAAGGCTATTTATAATGAAACTAGCTGTTACCTGCAGCTTCACCTTCACATAATTTTCAATTTGATAGAAATAACTCTCCCTCAGTACTTCAGTAAGATTCTCAATCGTTAGTTGTTTTTATAAAAAACAAAAAATTGCATCTAAAATAGTACAGTAGAAGCCATTCTTAAGGTTAAGCCTTAATTCTCTCCCTCCCCCTGTGGGGGAATTTTGAAAAATCCACTTGTTATAGTGTGCATTTTCATAATGTACCCTAACTGTGTACCAAACTTTACTTCTTTAGGTTCAGCGGTTTGCTCTGGGTGATGAATCACTCAGTCACCTAGTCAGTCAGTCAGGAGATGTAATTTTATATGTTTATATAAGGACTGTAAGGATAAAATATAAGTAGAATGTTATCATAAAGACACAGTTATCTTTTTTAATGTGGAACAATTTTAAAATAGTTAAAAAGATTAGTTTATATATTATTCATCTGTAGATTATTCAAATTTAGTAGANTTATATACTTGTAATTTTCTAGAGTTTTGCTTATGATAATATTATGATGATAAATCTGTTTTGTTAAGAAATTGTTGGAATTTGGATAATTATGTATTGAATTGCAGGGAGATTATATGATAAGGTTGAATTTTCTGTTATTGTATAATCTATATAAATGATGTATTATTCATATTTTTAATTTTCTCAATGTATTAATTATCTACACCATCAAATTTTTGGAAACATGAGCTAGTTATGTAAGACAGAAAATAATGAAATTATTATAGCAATACAAAATCCCTTATTTTCAATAAATTTGTTCAATCATATTCTTCAAGAAATCCATTTAAATTCTGAAAAATGATTAATATCTCATATTATAAAGCAACATTTGACAGCCTCACTGAATCCTTCACTTATTCACTCAATTATGTGAAATGTTTAAGTAGAAGGAGACTTTTTACAGAAAATTAAATAGTACATTCAAAAAAGGAATGTTGAGTATATTAGATTAAATATTTAAAGACTTTCTGATTCATCTCAAGAATTTATTGAACAATTAAAAGATCTTTACAACATTACATTAAAAACCTGTTTTTTAGAAATGTCATTTTAAAGCTATTAGTATTTTCAAATATTTTCTCAAAATAAATAACTTAATTGAAAATATTTAAGTGATAAGCAAACTCATTCTTCTGTTTCAGACTGTTACTGAGATTTATTTATAATTAATTAATTGAAAGAACTTGTCATTTTGAAAATTTAGTATATCCAAATATCTAATTTACAATAAATTATGTTACTTTTTGCTTTTATGCATTATATTGATACTATCAAATTAAATTTTTTTAGAATTAAAAACTTCTTATATTTTTATTTTAAAATGTCATATAATATTTATTATATTGAAGTTATTATTTTAATTTGTATTATAGCTTTTCATTTTCTCTTATTTTTATTCTTCATAAAGCTTTTTATAGAGAATATGTTATGGCAGGAATAGTATATGTTTGAAAATTGTAGTTATGAGATGAAGTTATAGATTGTCGAAAATTAATAAGAAACAATGAAAATGATTAAAAGAAAATAAGTTGTAAAAATTACACTTTTATATGAATTAGAGACAACCCATAAGTAAATAGACACCCTGAAAGCCAGCAAATGCATGAGGCAATATTAACTCTGCATTGCCATATTGGAGAAGAGTTTTCTTCCTCTATTCTCCATTGATGGACAAAACAACCATTCTGTTCATGGATGATGGAGCTCCTTACCATATTGCCAAAAATACCTGGAATTGATGACAATACAGGGTCTCCATGGGCCAGTCAGTCATCTGATGTGTGAATCCCATTGAACATGTCTGTAATCTGCTGAATCATGCAATGCGATGACATTCACAAAAACCAATTTCCTGTGATTTTTAGATTGTTTAGGTGTTGAGTGAGCCAACACTCCACAGGCCAAGATAGCAGAATTCATTGATTCCATGCCCAATTGGGTTAAGGCTTTCTGGTTTTAGTATGCAAATGTGGCATTTGTATCACGTGGATACTGTGAAATAAAAGACAGTGTCTGAAAATAAAGGCATCTATTTACATTGTGGGTTGTCTCTTACATAGAATGACTTTTATTTTGTTAAAAGAAGCATTTTTTTTTTTTTAAAGTTGGAATTAAGTTTTTAATATTTTTGTCCTTAATTAGGTAATTCATGGATGGCTAATAATTTCATCTTTGATGCTTCTATTTTTATTTGCATACATTTATCTTGGGTAAGTTATAATGACGATAATTTAATATACATCATAATTCAGAGAAATTGTTTTCTTTTTTGAAACTTTGTTTTCTAAGTTTTAATTGGTTAGTTTTTAAATAATGAGAAATTATAAACGATAGATTTATAAATTATAATAATTATTTAATTTTGTTGTTATTTTAAATATTTTTCAGTGAATTGTTGAGAGCATATAACATACCAATGGATTACATAACAGTTGTAATAATTATGTGGAATTTTGGTGTAGTAGGAATGATATGTATCCATTGGAAAGGACCTTTGCATTTACAACAAGCATATCTTATTTTGGTTTCTGCATTAATGGCTCTTGTTTTCATTAAGTATTTGCCTGATTGGACAACATGGGTGGTCTTAGGAGTAATTTCTGTTTGGGGTAAGTATTTATTATTTAATTTTTATGTGAAATTGAAATCATCAAATGAATTGGTGATATTTAATGAATACATAATTTTTAGTAGATAATGACATTATACAATGCAATACATCACAAAAGTGTTCTATTATATAAATTACTAGCTGGGGTACCCGGCTTTGCTCAGGGAGTTGATATGAGATTGTGTGGTAATTGGAATAAAAAGATAAACTTTAAAATATAAGAGGTAAAAAAATTTTATTGAAAACATATTCTAACTATTTACAATACTTGTTTATAAACAACATTTTGCTCAAAAACTTTTACAAATAAGCAAAGGCACATATCCCACTGACCAGACAACCGGCCTTATTGAACTCAACAGTGATTTTTGCAACATAGCCACTACTGAAAACAAACTCATCGACCAAATTTATCCAAACATTGTTCACAACTATACCAATCCGTAGTGGCTATTTCAAGGGGCAATTTTGGCAACTAAAAATAATATTGTCGACGACGATATCAACTTTAATATTCAAAAGAAAATTCAGAACTGGCAAGAGCTCCTCCTTTTTTAAGTTTGGGCATTGTATAAAATATAAATCAAATCAACTTTTTATTAAAAAATACACTAAGTACACTTTACACAGTTTTCACACTTTATTTTCAATTTATATTCAGTCACTGTATCATTTTGACTACTCACACTTCACTGTTTGTTTTTATTTACTCACTGCACTACTTTGGAATTTTCACTTCTTTTTCTGTTCTTCCCTTCGTCACTGATAAGAAACTGACGTTCAAACCCATGATGGATCTTGCTTTATATACTCTCATCAATGGGTAGTCCACCCATACAAAAAAGGCTTCAAATGGTCCACAATGTTCCAGAACATTCCACAACATTTGAGTGTGTTCTGGAATGTTCCACAATGATCTGGGATGTTCCAGAACATCTCAGAACATTCTGGAATGTTGTGGAATGCTCTTGAATACTCTCGAATATTCTGAACTGTTCTAGAAATTTCTAGAAGGCGAAACTTCCAGCCCTTATATCTTCAACAGAACACCCTTCAGGTAAAAAATGGGAACCTTCTTCATGGATGGGGGATAGAGGGCTACCACACCATATAACTTCCTTGATCATACTGGGACTCGTTTTTGAGTTTTAGTGGCACACACATTGTACACTCACCTTTATAATATATATTGATTGATTATGTCATTGTTTCAGCTAAAGTTATTGGATAAATAAATTATACTTTAGATTAGAATTTTTCAAATTATATGAACTTCTAGAAAAATATGAGAGAATGTTTTTTTTTTTTTTTAAATGTAATTCTGACTAATTTATTGTAAACTAATCAGTCAAATATTTTTGTAATTTGATTGGTGATCATTTAAATTATCTAAATATTTTGATATATTTTGTTCAATGAAAATGTTAAACAGGCCTGTAGATCCATTTTCAAAAGTCCAAACAAGATCAAAACTCAAATATTAAGTTATGACAGGACTAAAATAGTTTTAATTCTAATTGTATGAACTATAGTACTGAATTAATGGATTTAATTAATTTTGAGTTTCTACAGCTAATTATCTCAATTAATATAGTGTTCTGTAACCATATATACATTATTGTTTTGAACATAATTATTATATTTATTCAATTTAAATATCATCATCATCATCATCATCATTATTAAGCTAAATAAGAATAATATAGCATTCTGAAGATGATAATGTTATATCAGTTATTTATATTTGTTTGTTGTTTAACTATTATGAATGAAACTGTTAAAGTATGATTATTACTTTATATTAGAAATTTTATAAAATGTTTTTACAATGAGTTAAATTGTAAATAAGTAAATTGCAATGACATAAAATTTCTAATGTATATGTGCCTTTAATGTATGAAACAATATGTATTTTAGATTTAATAGCTGTGCTGTGTCCAATTGGACCTTTAAGAATTTTAGTGGAAACAGCTCAAGAAAGGAATGAACCTATTTTTCCAGCTTTAATATATTCTTGTAAGTATTTCAAGTTTAATGTAAGAATAATATATTTTATTTATTTAAGAATAATACATATAGTAGTATGTATTACTACTAAATTAATTTATCATCATCAATATGAAATGTACTCCCATTTTCATGACTCTCAGCCAATAATACAAGCCATAGCATCTTTCAAAAAGGCAGTTTGGAAATATGAAAATATTCAAAAATTAATCCAATTTTGGAATTTTTAAGCCTAGAACTGTTCTCAAGTGCTTTAAAAGTTCAACCATCTAGTAATTTCGTGCATCTAATTATTTAACTTAGTTTCTTTATTTATTTTTGTTTTATTTCATTAATTTTGGAATTATCAAAGTTATTGTTATTGTGGTTGTTAGTTGTGTACTGTCTTAACAAAGAAATTAGTGTTTTGTCTGAAATATATTGGCATTGTTTAATGATAGTATTTATTATGAAATTTCATAATCTTAAACATATTTTCTTTCAGCTGCAATGACATGGTGTGTAACAATGGCTGGACCTGATACTTCTCCTCAAGAACAAGAAACTGAAAACTTTGAAGATTCATCACATCAGTGTAAGTTGATTTTTAAATTAAAATAGAATTATACAATATAAATTTTTTGATTTGCACAATTAATTATTAAGTAGCTTCTAGCGAAACGCTTGGAGATGAAGAGCTTCAGGATGTAGTGAACGAACGTGTTAATAAAGAAACAGATAATCAACCTGTTTTATCAAACAGAACAGAATCTAGAGTTCAGCAACCAAGCTCAAACCATAGAAATAATCAGACTGCACCAACTGCAACAACACAACTTGAAGATGAAGAAAGTAAGTCTTTTTAAATAATTAGATTAACTTTTTAATAATTATACAGTAGATAATTTTAATAAGAATTGCTTAAATTTTTCAGGAGGAGTTAAACTTGGTTTAGGAGATTTTATATTTTATAGTGTTTTAGTAGGCAAAGCTTCATCATATGGTGATTGGAATACAACTGTTGCATGCTTTGTAGCCATTCTTATTGTAAGTAATTTTTATTAAAATTTTACATTATTTGCTTTCCATATACATGAAAATATGATGTTTTTTTTAATAAAATATTTATAAACATTTTTTAATTTGTGATATCTAATTAAATGGATATTGTACTTATGGTGCAATATCCATTTAATTGCCAAGTTTAAAATTATTAGTTGTAGCTAAGAAAATCTGTAGAGATTATTGTAATATAGTAGCAAAGCTGTTCATATGGATGAAGAAAATAAGTTATAATGTAATTTATAATCAAACATTTAAAATAACAAAACACGTAAGTCAAATTCTGTTACAATGCTCACGTCTGTTCTGATTGTTTTTTGGCATTATGGAAGGATGACACTATATCAATAAATACATTGTAACCATTTCATTTGCAGACAGCAAAGTCAGTATATGATACTGTAGTTTCTGACATGTTTTTTTTTTTTTGTTCACTTTAAAAATACATATGTATTCTCATAATGTAAATATATGTTCTTTTTTATGACACTAACAGAATATTGTTGATGATACTGTAACATTACTTACAATAAACTTGCATAATTACAAAATTACAATGTCATAAACATTATATACTTAGTGATATAAAATTATTTTGAATAAACTATCTTGTGATACATGTGAAGGTACTTGTTTGTTCAAAATATTTTTACATATATTACAAGAAAGTATTTCTCACATGGAGGTACAATACATGTGATCAGTCTGTTGCAATTACATGCTGTGAAAGTAAAAAAGCTGTAGAGTTGTTACAGAAAGTGAGACTGACCTTTTCTAATGTTGGTGAAAAAAATTAATATGAGGGACTGTCTTATTTTCTATTTTAATCACAGCATCCATTAGATCAAACATTAGATGCATCACATCCTCATACTTCTATAAAAATCCTTATTTGGTTTAGATTGTCTTTCACTTGCTTTGTTGAAGGCACTGGCTCTTTTTTACTGGCACTAACTAACTGCATCATCATCTGAATTTGACTCATTGTAAAAATGCCACATAGAGCTGTCTGATTTCCTGGTAACTTCTTGCGATGCATTGTTACAAAAACATGAAAAATAATTTTGGTAATAAAGTTTGCACCTTATAAAATTTTTGTTTGTTATATAAGTGTTATTCAGTTATTGTGACTAATGCTTTTATTTGATTAAATTATGAGAATTTTTTAAGTTTTTAAGCTATGCATTCAATGACATGTTGTAAATTCCAAATTTTTGATGTGCCTTGCATTATTGCTTTGATCACTTTATTTTTCATATAGAAAATATTCTTCTCCTAACAATCAGAAAAAATGTTGGTGTTTTCTCTAATATTTTGAGCAATATTAATTTTTGAATTTAGGCAATTGATTTTTGACAGTTGCAGTTGCATAAAAATATAAAAATAAAATTAAACTAATAAGATCTGACAAAACTAACTGTTTACTCTTAAAGACAATATTTTCCCAGAGTACAACAAAACAATAAAAATGTAATATGACCAACTTTTAAGCAAGAAGCTCCAACTTTTTTTGTAGGATAGTAAAACAGTTTGATTATTTCTCACAATGAAGTGTAATATAAATGACACAAGACTTTCTTTACATCTGTTAAATTTTTTTTTTTTTTGATTTGCCGAGAAACGTTTTAGGTTTTTGCCCTTCTTCTGTCAGCTTTTTCCATTTAGGTGTTATACATTTTATTTTTCAAAAATGTATAATACTGTGGCTTTTGCCTTTAAAACATTAAAATAGTTATAAAAGTTTGGGTTTTTAAATGACACTTAGCTCTCAGCTTACAGTTCAACAATCCAAACTTTTATAAGTATTTTAGTGTTTTAAAGGCAAAAGCCACAGTATTATACATTTTTGAAAAATTAAATGTATAACATCTAAATGGAAAACGCCAACAGAAGAGTGGCAAAGACCCAAAATGCACTTTGGAAAATGAAAAAAGACAATTAAACAGATGTAAAGAAAACCTTGTGTCATTTATATTACACTTCATTGTAGAAAAAATCGAATAATAAGATTGATATGGTTTCATGTAAAGAAGTTTGCAGTTTCTTTACATTAGAAGTAGGGGTGACTCCAGGTTCTACTGACACTCTCCTGCAAAAGAAATAAAGTTTTACTACCCTGGCATTGAAGGAAAACCCATCAATCTCCGATTACAAACAAATCTGATGTCAATACGTGAACTTGAAATAATTTGCAAGTTTGAGTTTGAGAGAAATTATCAAATTATTCTGCAGTATTTATATCTATATATAACAAGTATCAAATTTAACTGTATCTCTTGTAATTTTAGAATAATCTTCTTACATATATTTCTTGTCCAAGATTTTTGCCTTTCGGTACATCTAATTACAGATACATAATTAAAGTATTTGAAATAGTTTAAAAAATATTTAGCAATTTTTTGTTTTTAATAATTAAAATATCTAATTAAATTAGTAATAACATTTCAAAAGTTATATATGGAATATGATATACAGATATCAATATCAAAAGCGCTCAGCAACTAAATAAAGAGAAACAAAACACCTTTTTTGCTGAGAAATAAACATAATTTTAAACAACAAACGTTTTCAGCCTAATTAATAGGCCATCTTCAGGTTGAAAACTAAAATGGAACGTAAATGTTCCATGAATAGAACATAAAAATTTTACAAGAGAAAAAAATTGTGGAAGAATATTTAAAAATTAAAATAAAACAATAAAACAAAAATAACATAAATCTTCAATGTATTAATTCTGGTCGGAGTTTGTAGTAAATTTCTTAACCAAATATTTCCATGCCAAAGGTAGGCTCTCGGAATCCCTCGCATTTAAACAGCCTTCTCTTATCTTACTTCTGTATATTTCTATTTTTTCTGCCGTCATTGCTAGAGTTGGGGAATACAGATATCCCTCATACAACATGACACTTCTATAGCAAGTTTGGAAATTGGGGAAATCCCCTGTACAACATGGTTTCTGGTTTCACTCTAACATGGTTTGAGAATTTGAAAAATCTTCCATACAAAATTTCACAACTTTAAAGTGCAAACTCTGGTATTCAATATTTTTTTTATTCAAGTATTCATGTATACTGTTTCAAATTTGCCCATGGATTTTAGAAATCGAAATTTTTCATTTCTTTGTGCCTTTTGTGCTTTAATGAAAACTGATAGTGCAATTTTTTTCTTGTCCTAGCTTTCCTATTAATTAGGTGTTGTTATCGTTGCTTTCAGACTTTAACCCTTAAGACTGTCACTATGTTTTGTTGTTATAGATTAATCTTTGTATTTAGTAAAGTTTATTTAAACATTTTTAGGTAAGTATTATTAAGCTTTTTTTTAACTGTAGATAAGCAATCATTCTTAAAAATAAGGAATGAAATACAGTGGTATCTCAGTACTCAAACACAAATTCTGAGAAAAAAACTTCACTCGGTACTCAACTGAACAAATTCTATCCGCGAGAACAAATTTTTGATTAATTAATAATGTATTTTTATTTTGTTATCCATAAAAAATTTTTTATGGTAAAAAATATGAAAATATTGCTGATCAAGATCAACAAAAGAGCTCAGAAGATGACTATACTTTGTGAAAAAAAAATGCCCTCATTTAACTAAAATTAATATTAATGCAAAATACAGTACTTTTAATTGTGATTGTTAGTTAATTGTTGATTGGAAATAAGCTATTGATTGCTTTATTAAACATATTTCTCTTAGTAATGAAAAAGAATAGTATACTTTTGTTAACTTTTGGAACCTAACCCCATGTTTTGTATTAGTCCTTTGTTTCGTATAACATGGATTCGCATAACATGGCACTTTTTTTCAGAACATAACTACTGTTATATGAAGGATACCTATATAAGAAAATTAATAACTGCATTTCTTAAACACTGAATGATAGTAATATTTTCATATGTCAAATAGTTTTCGTAATAAATTTGTTTATAATTAAATATTTTATTCATTGTAAATAGAAAATCAATTTGAATATCAAATGAGAATATTCAGATAAAAAGTAAATTATTCTTGTTCAACACAGTAAACACTGTTTTGCCTAAATAAGTCCAGAAAAATCCAAATTGTTAAAGCTTGAATAGAATAATTAATGTTAACGTATATTCTACAAAGTTGCAAGTTGAATATATTGTTGGTTTGAATTCTACTTCAAACTTTTTTCCTTTTAATTAATTAACATTTAGAGATTGTTTTTATACTTTTATAATTGAATTAAGAAGTTGTTTGTTGTGGTTACCTTGACGTTTAAAACTTTGTTGATTTCATTTTTTAATAACTAATGTAATTTATATGATAATGATTGAGGAAAAATATATTTACGCATTATATTAGTTTTGACAATATATTAAAAATTCTTCTTTGATAATAGGAATTTGTATTGTTAATAATTTCTTTATTAATTATTATATACGTTAGTTATTCATGTTAGATTCTTCTAAATGGTTAATGAACTTTTCATTAATTGATTATAGAAAACATTCCAACTGGAGGCTTTTTACACTTTTATCTTGCCATAAGACTTACAACTGCATCAGAATCATTTATTTAAGATACTATGAAAGCTTACAAACTTTACAAAAAGTATGATTTGTAAAGAGTTGCCAAAAAAAATCACTTGAAGCAAACTTTAGTCAAAAAATGTTTGCTATATCTCCATTCAACTAATGATGCAAAAATTGCTGAAGCAAGTGTAATGTGTCTTAAAAAGTGATTCTAAGTGAGTTGTAAGTCTTTTGGCAAGACAAAAGTGTAAAAATAAGTCTCCAAAACTTTTTAAAGCATTTTTTATAATTAGTTAATCTAACTATTTATAACTTTAATTTTCAAATTCTTAATTAGAAATTAAATCTATAATAATTTTGTAATGATTTTATTGATAATATGTTACTTAAGATGTGTTTGTTTATTTTTCTTAATATATAGATATTAATATTGTATAAGTAGTGAGGAAAAATTCATTATTTGCTTCTCAAAATTATTTAA